CTCCTGTCTCACCAGACTCTCCTCTGGCACCACCGCCTTGGTCACCCCTCCCTGCCTCGTCTCCGAGGCATGGCCTCCCGTGTCCTTGTCACTGGTCTTCCCCGGTCTCTCCCTCCCCTTCCCCCGGGGCCTGCCCCTACCTGTGTTCCTTGCATCGAGGGGCGGCAGCGCGCCGCTCCTCACTCCTCCGAGTTCCCTCCGATGGAGGCTCCCCTGCAGACTCTTCACATGGACGTGTGGGGCCCAGCCCGCGTCCGTGGACAGGGTCACGAGCGCTACTTTCTGCTGGTCGTTGACGACTACTCGCGTTACACCACGGTCTTCCCCTTGCGCCGCAAGGGTGAGGTCAGTGAGGTGCTGATCGACTGGATCCGCGCTGCCCGTCGTCAGCTCAGCGAGAGTTTCGGCTCGGACCTTCCTGTTCTGCGTCTGCACTCCGACAGAGGTGGAGAGTTTTCGTTCGACCTTCTGCGAGCTTTCTGTCGTGCGGAGGGCATCCGCCAGACATTCACGCTTCCGGCCTCTCCGCAGCAAAATGGGATTGCTGAGCGCCGCATTGGCATGGTCATGGACGTCACTCGTATGTCCATGATCCATGCGGCTGCTCCCATTTTCTGTGGCCATTCGCGGTTCAGTACGCGGCGCATCAGATCAACCTCCAGCCCCGAGTCTCCGTGTCGGAGACCACACCTACTCTGCGGTGGACGGGGAAGGTTGGCGATGCGTCTGCATTCCGTGTCTGGGGATCTCGAGCTTTCGTCCGCGACTTGTCTGCGGACAAGCTGTCCTCCCGTGTTGTTCCCTGCGTCTTCCTTGGCCTCCCCCCTGACGCGCATGGGTGGCAGTTTTACCACCCCACCTCGCGCAGTGTTCTGTCCTCTCAGGACGTCACGTTTGACGAGTCGGTTCCTTACTACCGTCTCTTCCCCTACCGCACAGCCCCTCTCCCCCCCCCGCCACTCTTCCTAGCACTAGGTGCTCCTCCGGTAGACCCCCTCCCCCCTCAGGGTCCTGCCCCCTCAGGTGTGTCCCAGGTAGATGCAGTCGAGCCTGTCGAGGTAGCTGTTTACTCTGGTGCTGCTAGGGGTGCTGAGCCTGCGGGTGCCGGGTCTGGAGGTGCTGAGCCTGAGCGTGCGGAGCCTGGGGGTGCTGAGTCTGGGGGTGCTGAGCCTGGGGGTACTGAGCTTGGGGTTGCTGAGTCTGGGGGTGCGGAGCCTGGGGTTGCTGAGCCTGGGGGTGCTGAGCCTTGGGTTGCTGTGCCCGGGGTTGCTGCGTCTGGGGGTGCGGAGCCTGAGGGTGCTGAGCCTTCGCGTGTGGAGTCAGGAGGTGCTGAGCCTGGAGGTCCTTCGGGTGCTTCGTCCCGGCGGGAGCCACTCTCTCCACAGCAGCTGCGCAAGTGGTTTGCTCGGCGCTGGAGCCGTGCTGCTGGAGCTGGTGGTGCTACGGGCGCTGGAGGTCCTGCTGCTGCTGGAGCTGCTGGGGGTGCTGGAGCCACTGGTCCCGGAGGTGCTCGTACTGGAGGTACTGGAGCTGCTGGGCCTGGTGGTGCTGCTGGAGGTGGAGCTGCTGGGGCTTCTGGTGGTCCTCCTGGAGCTGGAGCTACTGGAGGTGCTGGAGCTGGAGGTGCTGCTGGAGCCGGAGCTCCTTGGGGTGCTGGAGTTGGCGCTACTTGAGCTGCTGGAGGTGCTCCTGGAGCAGGTGGTGCTGGAGTTGGAGCTGACGCTGGGGTTGCTGGTGCTGTCCCTGCTGGTTCTAGAGGCGCTGCGCGGCCGCGGCCGTACTTCGTTCCGCTCCTTGAGCAGGTTCTCGGTCTCCCGCCTTCTACTGGTCCTGCTCCTTCCTTTGAGTGTCCACCGCCTGTCCAGTCGCAGTCCCAGCTACAGCCTGCCTCCCCACTGCCTGCTCCTTCTCCTTACACTGGTCCGACCAGGGGTCTTGCTGAGCGTCGTGAGCCTGTGTGTCGTCCTACGTCGCCTGTTCATGCTGCTCGCACTAGTCGTCGTGGTTCGCGTCAGCATCCTCCTCCTGTCCCTGGCACGCACCAGATGGCTCTGCATCCTTCCACTGCTCCGCAACGTGTCCCTCTGCCGTCTCCTCATGCGTCCTCTCTTCCTGTCGGTCCGGACCCGGAGTCTGACTCCCTTCGTGCTGCTAGTCCTACTGTCACGCGTCTCCTGGCCACTGTTGTGACTGACCCTTCCTTTGAGTCTACTGTTTCGTCTGCTCTTGTTGCTGAGCTTGTCAACTTTGCTGCTCGCTGTCATCTAGACTACGCCGCTAGTCTTGTTGCTGAGTCTGAATCTGTCTGTCCTCCGTCCGTCGGGGGTGAATGTGCCCTTAGCACGGACGTCCTTGAGGACAGGCAGGAGGAGTTCCAGTGTTTTGCTGCTACTTCACCTCATCTCGTGTCCATGCTGCTTGCCCCTGATGGAGACCCGGATGCACCAGACATCCCGACTCCGCAGAGGCGGTTGAGGGTCCCTACTCCTCTCAGTGGCAGTCAGCCATGGACGCAGAGATGGCTTCCTGGAAGTCCACAGGCACCTACGTCGACGAGGTTCCCCCACCTGGGGCGAACATTGTCAGTGGCATGTGGATTTTCAGGGTGAAGCGGCCGCCGGGTTCTCCGCCTGTCTTCAAGGCGCGTTACGTGGCTCGTGGCTTCAGTCAGCGGCAGGGAGTTGACTGCTTTCAGACCTTCTCTCCCACCCCAAAGATGACCACTCTTCGGGTACTACTGCACGTCGTTGCTCAGCGTGACTACGAGCTTCACTCTCTTGACTTCAGCACAGCCTTCCTACAGGGCAGCCTGCACGAGGAGATCTAGCTGGCTTCACTGGGTCGTTCCCTCAAGGTACCCAGTGGAGCCTCCGGCGGCCAGTCTACGGTCTCCGCCAGGTGCCTCGCGAGTGGCATGACACACTGAGGACGACTCTTGCGGCTCTTGGTTTTGCTCCTTCTACTGCTGACACGTCGCTGTTTCTACGCACCGACACTTTGCTGCCGTCGTTCTACATCCTCGTGTACGTCGACGACTTGGTTTTGCCACTGCTGACACTAAGGCAATGACTCTAGTGAAGTCGGAGCTGCAGAAGAGACACACGTGCACAGACCTCGGTGAGCTGCGCAGCTATCTTGGCTTGCAGATCACTCGGGACAGAGCACGCCGCACCATCACCCTGACTCAGTCACACATGGTGCAGCAGGTCCTTCCGCGCTTCGACTTCCAGTACTCCTCGCCACAGTCCACTCCTCTGCCTACCGGTCACTCGCTCTCAGCTCTGCCTTCGGATGAGTCCGTAGAGCCGAGTGGCCCGTATCCAGAGCTTGTGGGCTGCCTCATGTACCTGATGACCTGCACTCGTCCTGACCTTGCTTACCCTCTTAGCATCCTGGCACGCTACGTTGCGCCCGGGAGACACCGACCAGAGCACTGGAAGGCAGCTAAGAGGGTGATGCGCTACTTGTGCAGTACGTCGGGCATGAGGCTCGTGCTTGGGGGATGGGGTCCAGTTGTTCTCACTGGTCACGCATATGCTTCTTGGGTTGACGACTTGGCTACGCTGCGGTCGTCACAGGGTTACACCTTCAGCCTTGGCTCCGGTTCTGTCTCGTGGCAGTCTACCCGCTTGTCTTCTGTTCTCAGCTCCAGCTGTGAGGCTGATATCTACGCAGGGGCCATGGCTGCACAGGAGCTACGCTGGCTCACCTACCTGCTGACGGACCTGGGCAAGGCGCCTCGTTCTCCTCCAGTTCTGTACGTCGACAACAAGGCAATGCTTGCCTTGTGTCGCGAGCAGAGACTGGAGCACAGAACGAAGCACATCGCTCTTCGCTACTTTCTTGCTCGAGAGTTGCAGTAGCGTGGTCAACTTCGTCTTGTTTACGTGGCCTCTCAGGCCAACACGGCTGATATCTTCACCAAGGCACTTCAGCCTTGTGATCATCAGAGGTTCTGTACTGTTCTAGGCCTTGTCCCCACTTGGCCTTACTTGCTCACTTCTTGACTTTGCTTGTACTGTGATCTTTATATATATATATATACCTGCATGCTTACACTTGCTAGGTTGTGATCACTGTCTTGTTTGTTCTACCTTAAATAACTCTGCATGTGAACTGGCCTTGTGGCCGTTTCCTTGTGCTCGGAATGTGTGGTGACGTCGTGATCCACCCTGAGCTTGCTTTGTTCTTCTTGACTGGTCTTGTGACCTCTTGTTCTCCCCCTCTTGCATCATGCAAGGATGCTGTACGCAAAGATGGGAAGTTGTGTTTAGGTACAGTCATCAATATTTTGAATAAACTGATGTATTATGGCATGCTATGCTATCAATTCAATTGATTGATACGCTAACAGCACACACAAGCTAGAACTTCCTGCCTAGTTATTTGGTTTCACTAAGCTGCAAAGATCAGCACTCAGAATGAGAAGGGCTGATGTCTTTTGTGTTGTGCACTTGAAAAAAACAAACAAACAAACAAATAAACAAACAAACAAACAAAAGTACAGACAAGGGCAAGCTGCAGAAGAAACAGAGGGTAAGCTGGAGGGGAAGGGAGGGGAAGCAAAGGGAGAGCAAGGGTTGCACAGGGGGAAGTAAGGAAGGGTAAGCAAAGGGGGGAGGAGGGGAAGGACTGTGCAGCATGTGAGGGCGCTGCAGCTCCCTCACGCGCGCCAGCAGCATGAGCGCACTCACAGACCGGCAGGGTGGGGGCAGGGAAGGGTAAGGAAGGCAAGGGAAGGGCATGGCAGGGCAGAACAACGTGTGAAGAGAGGAGAGGGAGAGAGTCATGTAGGGAAGATATGCAGCAGTGGTGACAGGGTAACACGTGAGAGGCTTGAACTCAGTGGGTGGTGGGAGGTGCAAAGCTGATTGTGTGACAAATGGAGAGCTGACGAGCGCATTCGTGAGCAGACGTGGCAACATAAGAGCAAGGGCGGATCACTCCAGCGCAAACGATTTGTCCCTCTATGTCTGTGTGCGCCGCACACAGTTTTGCACTCACCCGAACCCTCCTCGAGGGAAATGGGGGGAAGGAGGGGGGAAATGAGGGAAAGGAGAGGGGGGAATGAGGGGAGGGAGAGGGGAAAATGAGGGGAAGGAGGGGTAAAGGAGGGGAAGGAGAGAGGGAGAGGAGAGGACGGATAAGGGGAAATGCGAGAAACGAGATGAGGAGATGAGGGTAAGGAAAGGGTGAATGAGGGGAAGGAGGGCGAAAAGAGGGGGGAAAGCGGGGAAATGAGAGGGGGAAGGGGGGAAATGAGAGGGAGAAGTTGGGGAAATGAGAGGAGGGGAAACGAGAGGGGGAAGGGTGGGAAACGAGAGGGGGAAGGGTTGGAAACGAGAGGGAGGAGGGGGGGAAATGAGAGGGGGAAGGGGGGAATACGAGAGGGGGAAGGGGGAGTTACAAGAGGGAGAAGGGGGGGAAACGAGAGGGGGAAAGGGGGGAAATGAGAGGCAGAAAGGGGGGGAACGAGAGGGAGAAAGGGGGGAAACGAGAGGGAGGAGCGGGGGAAACGAGAGGGAGGGGGGGGGGGAATGAGAGGGAGAAGGGGGGGAGAAGGGGGGGAGACGAGAGGGGGAAAACGGGGAAATGAGAGGGAGAAGGGGGGAAATGAGAGGAGAAGGAGGGGAAACGAGAGGGGGAAGGGGGGGGAAACGAGAGGGAGGAGGGGGGGAAATGAGAGGGAGAAGGGGGGGAGACGAGAGGGGGGAAAACGGGGAAATGAGAGGGAGAAGGGGGGAAATGAGAGAAGGAGGGGAAACGAGAGGGGGAAGGGGGGGGGAAACGAGAGGGAGGAGGGGGGGAAATGAGAGGGAGAAGGGGGGGAAACGAGAGGCGGAAGGGGGGAAAATGAGAGGGAGGAGGGGGGGAAACGAGATGGAGAAGGGGGGGAAACGAGAGGCGGAAGGGGGGGAAAATGAGAGGCAGAAGGGGGGGAAACGAGAGGGTGGAGGGGGGAAACGAGAGGGAGGAGGGGAGGAAACGAGATGGAGAAGGGGGGGAAACGAGAGGCGGAAGGGGGGAAGATGAGAGGCGGAAGCGGGGGAAACGAGAGGGAGAAAGGGGGGAAACGAGAGGGAGAAAGGGGGGAAACGAGAGGGAGGAGCAGGGGAAATGAGAGGGAGGGGGGGGGGGGGATGAGAGGGAGAAGGGGGGGAGACAAGAGGGGGAAAACGGGGAAATGAGAGGGAGAAGGGGGGAAATGAGAGGAGTAGGAGGGGAAACGAGAGGGGGAAGGGGGGGGAAACGAGAGGGAGAAGGGGGGGAAATGAGAGGGAGAAGGGAGGGAAACGAGAGGCGGAAGGGGGGAAAATGAGAGGGAGGAGGGGGGGGAACGAGATGGAGAAGGGGGGGAAACGAGAGGCGGAAGGGGGGGAAAATGAGAGGCGGAAGGGGGGGAAACGAGAGGGTGGAGGGGGGAAACGAGAGGGAGGAGGGGAGGAAACAAGATGGAGAAGGGGGGGAAACGAGAGGCGGAAGGGGGGAAGATGAGAGGCAGAAGGGGGGGAAACGAGAGGGAGAAAGGGGGGAAACGAGAGGGAGAAAGGGGGGAAACGAGAGGGAGAAAGGGGGGAAACGAGAGGGAGGAGCTCCGGGAAAATGAGAGGCGGAAGGGGGGGAAATGTTGAAGGTGGTTAGCTAACCACTACCTAGAGCGACCTACATCAACCTAAGAAGGACCAACTGTGACGAGATGTGACTAAGGGAAAACGAGGACCTAAGAAGAAGAGGAGCTATCTATGTTGGGATGGTGGAAGGAGAAACACGGTAGCGGCGCGACCTGCAGTGGGAATCGAAGAGAAGAAGGGGAAGTGTGCAGAAGTGGAGTAGAAAGCGGCTGAAATGTCGAGATTTCAAGCGACGTGAAGAGAAGTCACGCCGGGTCAAAGGCGCATCCAAGAAGTCTGAAATTCGAACTCGAGGCGCGTTCGGTGCATGGTTGGATTTGAAATTTGAGCCGAGTACAAGTCAGCTCGAAATTAGGCGCGGCGCGAGGGCGAAATCAGAAATCCTTTTGCTTATAACTTGCTTTGTGTTTTCTGTTTTTGTATGCCTTCTTCAATGAAATTACTTGAACTTTCTACCTTGGCGTTTTTCAGCAAATTCCTTCACACAGTTGAGGCCAGAGCTTCATGTGCTTGTTACTAAGACTCTAAATAGTCTTCATAGTCTAGACCAAAGGCTGCACACGTACAAGAGGAAATGAGATTGAGGAAACCAGAGGCGGAAGGGGGAAAAATGACGAAATGGGTTATGAGCCGAGCAGCGCGTGACGCGAGTATTGTGCCGATTCGCAGGTGAGGCATGCGGCGGGTGAGGCGAGAAGCGGGTGACGAGCTAAACAGATTTCGCGAGCACCGTGTTTGGCGAGGAGTGGGTATCGTGATCAGCGGGTATCGCGATCAGCGGGTTCCGCCATCAGCGGGTATCGCCATCAGCGGGTTCCGCCATCAGCGGGTTTCGCCATCAGCGGGTTTCGCGATGCATGATGGCGCTAGGCGAGAAGCCCGTAGGGTGGAACGCGACGGCTCACTGAATAATTTATCGCTGGTTCGACGATTTCATCACCCTGGAGCCAGCATAATGCAACTCGTCGAGGCGCTCGCCGTTTGCCGCATGGCATCGCTCAACGAATGCTACGCGGCGGCCCATCCGAATGCACACCGCCCCTGCAGCTAAAGGCGTTTGTATAGCCCCGTATCCCCTTACAACGGGCGATTAGGTCATGGTGAGTAGTTGCGCTGCTAGTTCTATGCTGGCCTTTCCTAGTAATTAGTTGCTTATACTTGTGTTTTGTGAGCCCAACCTCAAGGTTGGGTGACGGGAGAGTTTCTCATGTTCCCACCCCTCAATCCTCCAAATTTTCGCAACCCCTCTCGCCAAGCCCCTTTCTTTTCGTTGGGGCGAAATCTTGGTGGCTACTGTTCCACCACAAACAGTACTTTCAAATGTATACGAAAGCTTTAACACTTGGCTTTGCAATATTTTCCTTCGGCGTAGCTGTGAAGATTTTTGTTGGCTGTTTTCTTGGAGAGGGGAGAGAAAGTGCGCGGCACTGTTTATTTCCTCAGCGTTTTCTTCGGGACTATTCTGACTTTGTCAGAATGCAGCAGCACGACGGACGACTGCGATCGCGCCAACGAAATCCACGGTCCCTGCTCAATCGCGTTTGAATTCGCGTCGGCAGGTTCCCTCCCTTTTCAGTCTTCGACCGTCATATCTGCAGTCATCGCATCTACGGCTCACATTCCAAGTTCTCTTTCCAATTGGGCTAGTTCATCCGCATCCGTCAGATCAAAATCGGACTTCATCAACGGCCTACATTCCAACCTTTTCAAAAATAATATCAAAGGCATCTCAGACGTCGGATTCAGTTGAAGAGAATATCTACGGCATCGTTGCTAGTGTGGGGTCTGTTCCCAGTACAGAGCTGCCATATTTAGAAGGTGGGGGTTTGTAAGGATTTACAAATCATTACTGAGGCACTCGTTAGTGAGGTCATCCCGAGGGTCACGCGACGAACCTGTTCTGCCTATTTCGTCGCACCGAACCACTCCCGAGTCACCTCCGCCCCAATCGCAACCATCACCGAGCCATCCTTGCCCGACCTCCCCGCCTAGCTAGTAATTCCCCTATTTAGGTCTCGACACTTTCCTTGTATCGTCATTCTGTAGTTCTACATTCTCGTTATTCGTTTTACTGCGCACTCTGCAAGTTCATTCATAACAGTTCTACTGATAGTAACATGATTGCGTCATTCAACACAAATTAGTAATTTCTTGGTTACAGTTCGTAACACTCTATCCTACCTAGAAGACAACATTCGTGCCACAGCCTTTGATAGCCTGTCTGGATTCGTCCAGCCTGGTCGAGATTCATGGACCTGGCAGGCTGGTCGTTGTCACCCAGGGAGCACAGAAATGGAAACCTGTGGTGTTCGTCTCGTGTGCGACCTCCTCCCACTCCCCACTTCACCACCAAGCCATTCGTTTGTTTACTGTGTACTCAGATTTCTGTCGCGCTTTCTGTATCGTCTTCGCGAAGCTTCGCTGAACCAATGAATGTTCGTCGTCAGCTATTTCACATTCTCGAACCCAGAATATCCCGCGTTTAGACGAATCTTTCCTCAACGCGGCATCCCAGATTCACGCGCATTTTGCTGCCCCGCAACTGTACCATGACGACAACTTCGATTTGATACTTCATGGGAGTTGGTTGTTGTTTCCAGCAGGGATGGATGATGTGTTTCGATTATTGAAATCTTCCAATTTACCATTAAGTCTACGAGTGTAGTGGAGAAATGAAACCTCTGCGCACAAACAGAGTGATTGTTTTTTGTGCAAAGTCGCATTTTGACAGACACCCTGAACGTGGGGTGCAAAGTCTGAATCATCCCCGGATGAACTATCATCTGGCCGCCGTGAAAGTTCACCACAGAAAAATCGAATCAAAATTGTTACGTCATGATTCATTCCTACCTCGCCTTTGTCTCAAAGCGAGATGCGAAAACTGCTGTTGCCCTGCTGCGAGGGAAGCGAAGGGCACTGTTGTAACTGTGGTCACTGTCCAACCGAAGGCTCCCTCCCTGCCTCCCCTTTCTCCCTCCTCCACCAGCCCCCCCTCAATTGCCTAGGGTTTGCATGTACCTCAATTGCCTAGGGTTTGCATGTAGGATATCATTGGAGCGGCAAACATGCTTCTAGTTTTTAGGACTCTTCACAGAATATTCAAAGCCTGAATGTTCTCCAGCCTCAACAGCTTCACATTGTACTGGTAGTAGTCATCGGCACTGCATCCCACTGCAGCCTGGAACAACCGACGTGCTTCTCATTTTTCTAAGTTACTTTCGAAACACCAGCCATGGAGCTGCCTACGGGCCAAATTGAGATTTTTAAATGGCTCAAATACGGAGAGAAGGTGCTCTCGTCCAAAGGAGGACCCTCAATCACAAGGTAACGCTTGATCCACGAGCGAATTATTTCAAAATGAATCACCAGACGTGTCTGCATTTGTTTTTAGAACTTTCCTGAAACAAGGAAACATTGCGCAATTATTTATCATTTTTTTTGTCTTATGTTTCTTCGTCCACGTTTGTGACCTGCAGGCTTTACTTCAAATGCAGTCACGGAGTGAACACAGAGAAAGGCCGCGCTGGGTTCCTCTGCCCTGCAAGGAAGATCGTGGATGTGCGCACAGAAGAAGTCAATGCAAGCAATGCACCTGCATCTCCAGATAACCCTGGTTCATGCACCGGGCCCTCCACGTCCTCACCATCATCATCCACGTCAGCATCTTCTGGATGCGACGCACCGGCGTCATCCGGCTCCCATGCTCATACTACGACGACGTTTCGCCACTCCCACAACCACCAGACGCTGGCATCGTCCTGGGTGAGCCCTCGCCGCGGCATGGCTGCTGCTGCACGATGCACTTCCACTCCTACCACTTCTGGTGTCAATGCTGCCTCCAATGCCGCTGCCATGGCTAATGCTGTCCAGATCACTCCTACATCTGGAACTGCTGCTTCTCTCACCAGCCAGAAGCGAAGATGGTCCTCCATGGGCTCCGTATGTGATGCAATGGCCGTAGCGGCTACAGCAGCACCATCACCAGTGAATGGCAGCGCTGCTTGCAAGTCCCAGTCCCAGTCCCAGGCACCTGTGGTAGCAACTCTTGGCGCTTCATCAACTGTGGTTGCTGACAAGACTGCTGCTCCTCTCCCGGTCAGACCTGTGGCTATCCGGTGCCTGACATCTCCACTGAAGGCATCAAATACACCCATCAGCATGGGGAGCCGTGGAGCATTCACTGCTGTAAATGGCGGAGCTCTCACCAATGTGGCGTGCGGACTTCCATCGGCTGTGACCATGCACGCACCAATGAAGAGAGCTACAACGTCTGGCGAGAGCATATCGCGAAGCAGAATCACAGGCTCAAGCTCTACAATGTTGGTTTCAGGCAGCCTATCTCAGCCTGCTGCCTCGGCGTTAACTGCTTCGGGCAGTAGCAAGCTGTCGTCGCCGCTCACAACAATTGTGTCCCAATCTTCAACTGCAGCGACACATCTCCTGCAGCAAGCCTCAATCCCAGTCGATGCATCAGAGGCACTGAGACTAACCCGCTCGCCCAGTCAGTCATCGGCTGTTACCACGCTCTGCGTCCCTCGTTCTGCTGGCGGAGGTGCTGCTTTCACCAACAGTGGCTGGACTGCCAACCCTGTCATCTCAACTTCCCACGCTGTTGCTCTTTTGCGTGCTCCACCTGCCACGGCTACTGGCAGCAGTGCCCCTCTTTCTTCCTCTGCTCCTGATGGTGGCAGCCCAATTGAGTCAACGCTTTCCCAGTGGCGTCCCTCTGTCAAGCCTAATCATGCTAGCGTTGAAGATGAGGCACGGATAACAGAATCAGGGATTCAGACGACTACAGACAGCCCAAGGAAGGCGATTTGCCTAGGCCTTACGGAGCATCTGAGCAGGTTTCGGAGAGGATCAGTGGCGGACCTGAGCGCCATTCAAGGAGTGTTGGGGGCTGACCAAGTTCGGCCATCACTTGGGCTTGAGGAGAGAAGCAGGCTGGAATGTGCAGCTTTGGTCGACCTAGAGTTGAGACTTTCTTTGGGCTAGATGCATTAGGTATAGTAATGTGGTTAAATAAAATGCTTTGCGTGGCACTTCCAGCCATTGGCAGCAATGGTTTCTAGTCCCCCTAGCATGCAAGCCATAGCCTATTATGATAAACCAGCTTGTAACAAAGCTATGCTGTTAATGGCTCCAGCATGTTATTGAGTTGAGACTAAAGGTATCAAAGTATGCTCCACGCAAGAACATGCATTTAAATCCAGCAAGCACACTCCACGCATGAGGAGGAGCCAAAGCAGGGCCTCAGATTCGTTTGGGGGTACACTGAGGCCTCAGGGCAGTTTTTAGGAAATCAGAATTTGCCCTGAATTGTCAGGGCTGCACAGGGTGAGGTATCCTGAAATGCCAGTGCTACATTTGTTTATATCTTGTAAACTTAGTGCAGCACTTCGTAATAGGTGAAGTGTGGTAGCTGGTAAAACGACAATGCGGTACTCAATAGGTCTTGTGCTCGATTTTCTGCTGGCTCCTATATTTGAGGTGCACGCCCGTAAATGTTTTAGGCCCCGAAACCCAGGAGATTTTTCGTACAGTACATCTCGCTTCAAAGCGAGATTCGACACTATCCTGACTCATCAGGGCTGAACCTTCAGCCTTATCCTGAGTTTTCAGTACGCAAAATAACCGTTATACTGAAATTACAGGACAATTATTCCAGTTATGCTGTTTTTCCAGGACTAGCACACGACACCTATCCTGAATTCAGGAGAATCAGGATAAATTATCCTGATAATTGAGGCCCTGAGCCAAAGCAAGGCGAGAGACAAGGGGGGGTGGGGAGGAGGGCTGCAAGAGGTGAGATAAAAAGGGAGGGCGGAATGAGACGCGAGAGGCTAGAGGACGGGGAATCTGGCTGCAACATGTGAGAGAAAGGCGAGTGTCAGAAATTATATTTCTATGTATAACTGCATATTAGCCTAGTCAGTGTAGTATCTATTTCATTGTTGGTGGTATACCCCCCTTGGCCACCTTCCCTTGCCCTATATCTTGTATCTCTCTCCATAGTCAATCCCC